CAGGCCAAAAGTCAGAAGAATTCAAGACTGCCAGCGGTGTTAGACAAGGTGATATTCTCTCACCTTACCTCTCTCTTCATTCTTATGATGGATGATGTCATCAAGACCTGTAAGGAGAAGACAAAGAAGTACTCTGTAGGGAAGATGAGACCAATCTGTATATCAGAGCTGGCTTTTGCAGACGATGTGGCCCTGATAGCTAAATCAGAGGCACACCTTCAGTCCAACTTACTTGTCTGGAAGGAAGAGCTTGAAAAGAAAGGGATGACCATCAGTGTCTCGAAAACTAAAACCATGGCGATCTCAAGAGAGGAGAAGAAACACCAGATCATGTTGGGACAGTATTCAATGGAGCAGGTTAACCAGTTCAAATACCTTGGAGTTGTATTAGACCAAAATGGAGGCATTAAGACTGAGCTGGCTACACGAAAAGCAGCTGCTGGGAGACTCTTCCAGGCCATAAACCTAGGGTTTCTTAGCAAAAGAGAAATTGGCAAGTGGACGAAAATGGCTGTTTACCGCTCTACCTATGTACCAGTTCTGACCTATGGGTGTGAGTCATGGGCAATGACAACAGCTTACAGAAGCCAGCTGCAGGCCTCGGAAATGAGATAACTGAGAAAGGTGGTCCAAGTGACAAGAAGGGACAAAGTCCGCAATCAGACAATACGTCAAGATCTTGATACCCAGCCCTTACTAACCCGAGTAGATCAGTCACAGTTACGATGGTTTGGACATGTATGCAGAATGGGAGAAAATCGGCCACCATGGCAGGCAAGGGAGGCTAAGAACCAGGGAACCAGACCTCCGGGACGACCCAGGGTGCGCTGGGAAGACAACATCCGACAGTCCCTAACTGACAGAGGACTGGAATGAAACAAAGCCAGAAAGAAAACTGCTGATAGAGACGTCTGGCGATCTCTCTGGCAAACCTCTACACCCCAAGGTAGAAGAGGAGCGACTAAGTAAGTAAGTAAGAGATCGGACGCCCGTGTGTATTGTTGCACAAGCTAAAAAATCCCTTGGCAGTTAGAAATCTAAAAAAGTAGCCTAACGGCGCTGCCTGGGCAAAATATGTAGTTAAAAATCTACCCAAAACATTTCAGGATCCTCATCGGTGCTACGGAGCTCGTGCTCTGCGCTGAGCTACTTCGAACTCAGACTCGAGTTAGAAGTAGAACGGAGCAATTATTGGTGTGATTTATACCAGTGTGATCCGTTGATGAAACCACAAACGCGCTTCGTCTTGCCGGAGTGACGGGTTCTATCCCAGCTGCAGGCGATTGGGCAGCAGACCACTTTGTGTTGATTTCGACAGTGGTATCGATAACCGACCGCACAGAAAGAAATGGCAAACTACTGAACGTAAAATTGTCTTTAAAAATCGTGACAACCAAACTTAAAATATTTAGCTTTAGCATCAAGTCACTCATCCTTCGTCTGTGGCATTGGAGTTGTGAACGTGCTTCGTAATGCCGGGGTGCCGGATTCGATCCCAGCTGCGGGCATCTCGCCTTGCATTGGTTTCGACAGTGGTATCATGAAGCCGACCGTCCAAAAGCAATGGCAAATACTGGACGTAAATGTGCCTAGAAAAACCACAACTGCCTAACAATGCTGGGTTTGGTTCTGCAAAGTCCTGTTAAGGATACGCAATTAACTTTTTAAACTCATCCTGCATGGATTAAAATCAGGGAGAGCGTGTGTACCAATTACTATTATTAATAATTTACTACAAACATTCAATAACTGCTTTTAATGCTGTGACAGAATCAACATGTAAACCTAAACAAATTCTCGTGAATCAAACAGTGCTGCGAATTTGTTTGTGCCCTAAAAAAAACACATTGTACAAACCGGTTCATAATTCAACTAGAAATTTTTTTTCTTTTCTGGAACTCACAGTGCAAAATAAATAGGAGGTGACATGCGGAGAAGAGACATTAAAACTAGGAAGGACACGGGAGGTGCTCAGAGGAATTTCATTTGTTGAGGGTCTGTAGGTCAATATATTAGGAGCTGAAGAAGAAGAAGAAGAAGAAGAAGAAGAAGAAGAAGAAGAAGAAGAAGAAGAAGAAGAAGAAGAAGAAGAAGAAGAAGAAGAAGAAGAAGAAGAAGAAGAGAAGAAGAAGAAGAAGAAGAGAAAGAAGAAAGAAGAAGAAGAAGAAGAAGAGAAGAAGAAGAGAAGAAGAAGAAGAAAAAGAAGAAGAAGAGGAAAAAATAAGAAGAAGAGAAGAAGAAGAAGAAGAAGAAGAAGAAGAAGAAGAAGAAGAAGAAGAAGAAAAAGAAAGAAGAAAAAGAAGAAGAAGAAGAAGAAGAAGAAGAAGAAAGAAGAAGAAGAAGAAGAAGAAGAAGAAGAAGAAGAAGAAGAAGAAGAGAAGAGAAGAAGAAGAAGAAGAAGAAGAAGAAGAAGAAAGAAGAAGAAGAAGAAGAAGAAGAAGAAGAAGAAGAAAAGAAGAAGAAGAGGAAAAAATAAGAAGAAGAAGAAGAAGAAGACAGAAGAAGAAACGAAAGAAGAAGAAGAAGAAGAAGAAGAAGAAGAAGAAAAAGAAGAAGGAAAAAAGAAGAAGAAGAAGAAAAGAAGAAGAAGAAGAAGAAGAGAAGAGAAAGAAGAAGAAGAAGAAGAAGAAGAAGAAGAAGAAGAAAGAGTGAAAAGAAGAAAGAAGAAGAAGAAGAAGAAGAAGAAGAAGAAGAAGAAGAAGAAGAAGAAGAAGAAGAAGAAGAAGAAGAAGAAGAAGAAGAAGAAGAAAAAGAAGAAGAAGAAGAAGAAGAAGAAGAAGAAAAGAAGAAGAAGAGAAGAAAGAAGAAGAAGAAGAAGAAAGAAGAAGGAAGAAGAAGAAGAAGAAGAAAGAAGAAGAAGAAGAAGAAGAAGAAGAAGAAGAAGAAGAAGAAGAAGAAGAAGAAGAAGAAGAAGAAGAAGAAGAAGAAGAAAGAAGAAGAAGAAGAAGAGGAAAAAAGAAGAAGAAGAAGAAGAAGAAGAAGAACGAAGAGAAGAAGAAGAAGAAGAAAGAAGAAGAAGAAGAAGAAGAAGAAGAAGAAGAAGAAGAAGAAAGAAGAAGAAGAAGAAGAAGAAGAAGAGAAGAAGAAGAAGAAGAAGAAGAAGAAGAAAGAAGAAGAAGAAGAAGAAGAAGGAAGAAGAGAAAGAAGAAGAAGAAGAAAAAGAAGAAGAAGAAGAAGAAGAAGAAGAAGAAGAAGAAGAAGAAGAAGAAGAAGAAGAAGAAGAAGAAGAAGAAGAAGAAGAAGAAGAAGAAGAAAAGTAGAAAAGAAGAAGAAGAAGAAGAAGAAGAAGAAGAAGAAGAAGAAGAAGAAGAAGAAGAAGAAGAAGAAGAAGAAGAAGAAGAAGAAGAAGAAGAAGAAGAAGAAGAAGAAGAAGACACAGTAGTAAATATAGTAAAAAGATAGAGAGTGATGGTGGAGGACAGCACTTACTTCAACTGAACACAAGCCTTGTCCAGGACTCGCTTCATCCTGGCCTGACACCGTCGGATAACCTCAGTCTCCTGGTTGAGACAAAGAGCCAACATCATCTACTCTAGCGATTTAATAAAAATTGTTTTTATGACCACAAGAAGCACCCTATCAGTTAACTTGTTGATTCATCAACTGGTCTATTGATCAGCCAGGCCTTCAGTTAATTAATCTTTAATTTTGTTATGAAATAGCCAAAAACAAGTCACACATCTAGCCACTCCGATAATAAACCACATATAGGCAATTTGGGGTTAGTTAAAAAGTTAAAGTTAGTTGTGTATCTTTTACAGGACGTTGCAAAACCAACCCTAGAATTTTGTGGCTGTTATGGGTTTCCTAGGCAGTTTTACGTCCAGTAGTTTGCCATTGCTTCCTGGACAGTCGGCTTCTCTATACCACTGTCAAAACCAACGCAAGGCTCTAGGCCCGCATTTCGAATCAAACCCGCCCCACCCCTCCCTTGGCATTACGAAGCGCGTTCGCAACGTCTAAGCCACAGTCTCCGCCATGTATTCACCAAATATAGTACATCGGCCAGACAAAACCTCGCTCACTCAAATAATCGGGCAGCGAATCTACCAGCTGACCAGCTGGTAAATCAGTTAATTAGCTAATCAGCCCCAGAAATGTTCGAACAATCAACATATTGGTCAATCAGTCAAGTAAACAGACATCAGTCACTTTACAAGTCAGATAGTCTTCAATCCACCAACAAAACGAACCATTCAACCAAAAAAAAAAAAAACCGTTTGTCGATTAAGCAACTATTCAGTCAGTGAATATGAAAAAAAAGGTAATTTATCAAACAGTTTATTTAACAAGAATGCCCGGCTCTCTAGCGTAGTTGGCTAAACCAGATGGCGCGGTGACCGGGTGACGAACTCCTTGTGGTCCAGGTTCACTCCCGGGGTTTGGAATTAAAAAAAAACATTCCTCCCAGATTTACGGTATATACAATGAAATTAGGGCCGAAAGGTTGCGATATCAATAATACCGAGCCTAAGGGTTAACAACTCATGGCTTCTGGATACTAAAAAAAATAAAAATTTAACAAGAATGTCATCAGTAACGTTATCATTGTAAAAATGTTTTGGGAATTCATCCCTCTCTCCCCCTCTCCCTCTCTTTCTTTCTCTCTCTCTCTCTATCTCTCTCCCACCCCACCTCTTCATTTTTTTGAAGTCGCTGTATTTTTATGAGAGGCTTCTAGATTATTTTCGTTGTGGCTACTCTTTTTAAACCAGTTGTCTGTCTAACAGTTTGATAACATATAGTCTGTCTATTCCTCTTTCCCTGAGTCAATATATTTTCTTGTTTGCCTGTCAGTTTGTCTGAAAGTGGGTCTGTTTGCCTATCAGTAGTTAGTACACTCATCTGTCTGTCTGAGAACAGCCAGTGTCTGCCAGTCCACCCGCCTGTCTGTCTGAGAGCCGTTAGTGTCTGCCAGTACATCCGCCTGTTTGTCTGAGAGCCGTCAGTGTCTGTCACTCCGCCTGCCTGTCTGTCTGAGAGCCGCCAGTGTCTGTCACTCCACCCGCCTGTCTGTCTGCGATGAGATGAACAATGTGGTCACCTTGACCAGTGACTTCTCCACGTCATCATTGACCAGGTCAATGCCCTGCCTCTTCTCACGGTTAAGCAAACATTCTTCGGAGATGTGCAGCGGGTTGGCCGAGTCTGCTAGCGCCTTCTCACACGTTTGCTTGCACTCCTAGAGGAAAAGGCAAGTACACAGCATCTTTGAGATTTGTAAACAACGCACTGTCAGATATACTTCACTGTGATGCTTCTATGTCTGAATGCCCCATCTTCTTCTCGTAGTCCATGTCGTGTGGTGTTGGTAGTCATTCATGACCACAACCTTCTGTCTCAGGTCTCTTTCTTCTCGTAGTCCATGTCGTGTGGTGTTGGTAGTCATGCGCATCTACACATCAGTTCTGACTCACGTCTCATCCTTTATGTCCATGTCGTGTGGTGTTGGTTGTCCAACACTGTCTGGCATGTTTTCTCTTGGTCTCCCTCATGACCACAACCCTTCGTCTTCTTTCTTCTCCACCACCTTCGATTCTACTCAGTCCATGTCGTGTGGTGTTGGTGACATTCATGACCACAAACAAAAAAGTCTCACGTCTCCATCTGATCGTAGGGCATGTCGTGTGGTGTTGGTTGTCATTCATGACCACAACCTTCTGTCTCACGTCTCTTTCTTCTCGTAGTCCATGTCGTGTGGTGTTGGTAGTCATTCATGACCACAACCTTCTGTCTCACGTCTCTTTCTTCTCGTAGTCCATGTCGTGTGGTGTTGGTAGTCATTCATGACCACAACCTTCTGTCTCACGTCTCTTTCTTCTCGTAGTCCATGTCTCTTTGTTGGTAGTCATAACCAAAGGGCAGTCATTCTTCAAGGTGTGTGGTAGTCATTCATGACCACAACCTTCTGTCTCACGTCTCTTTCTTCTCGTAGAACCATGGAAAGTCTCACGAGAAAGGACCACAACCTTCTGATAAAGCCTATTTAGTGTTTGTCAAACGTCGTGCAGTCTTTCCTCAACTCCCTCTACCTCTTGGTGTCCAGTATATCCAAACTTTGTCACCACACGATGCACTCAAGTTGTCTCATACTCGTGACATATAAAGCAAACAAACAAAAGAGATCAGACTGTCTCCATCTGATGAGGGCAATCAGCTATCTTCGTCAGTGTCAAACCGTCATCATTATTGTTTCTATTTTATTTGTCCAGGGTTCTGTTGAAATAAGTTATTACCACATATTGACTTTATAACAAAGGGCAGAATTCTCAAGGTGTAGTCTATTAGAAATGGAAAGTCTCAGAGAAAGGTAAATTAAAGTCATTGTTTTTCAAACGTAAATCCTCCACCCCCACCCTAACCCCCCAGTATAATTAAAACAAGGTCATCTGCACTCAGGTCATCTGCAGGATGATTTAAATTACTTAAACATTTACTGGACGGTCAGGTCAGGTACCTCCAGTTAATCTATGTGACCTGATACCTTGTCTGGTCAGGTCAAGTACCTCCAGTTTGTCTATGTGACCTGATACCTTGTCTGGTCAGGTCAAGTACCTCCAGTTTGCCTATGTGACCTGATAACTTGTCTGGTCATGTCAATTACCTCCAGTTTATCTATGTGACCTGATACCTTGTCTGGGCAGGTCAAGTACCTCCAGTTTATCTATGTGACCTGATACCTTGTCTGGTCAGGTCAAGTACCTCCAGTTTATCTATGTGACCTGATACCTTGTCTGGTCAGGTCAAGTACCTCCAGTTTATCTATGTGATCTGATACCTTGTCTGGTCAGGTCAAGTACACCCACTTTATCTGTGTGACCTGATACCTTGTCTGGTCAGGTCAATTACCCCCAGTTTATCTATGTGACCTGATACCCTGTCTCGAAATTACTGACAAAATAATGCCAATTACCATTACCTTACTTCAGAGGGCAGGTAAATATACTATACATTAAGCACCTTGACGTTAAGGAAGAGAGCAGGTTGATTTACCTTGACGTTAAGGAAGATAGCTGGTTGATTTACCTTGACGTTAAGGAAGATAGCTGGTTGATTTACCTTGACGTTAAGGAAGAGAGCAGGTGATTTACCTTGACGTTAAGGAAGAATTTGATTTACCTTGACGTTAAGAAAGAGAGCAGGTGATTTACATTGACTTTAAGGAAGAATTTGATTTACCTTGACGTTAGGAAAGAGAGAAGGTGATTTACCTTGACTTTAAGGAAGAGAGCAGGTGATTTACCTTGACTTTGAGGAAGAGAGCAGGTGATTTACCTTGACGTTGAGGAAGAGAACAGGTGATTTACCTTGACGTTAAGGAAGAGAGAAGGTGATTTACCTTGACTTTAAGGAAGAATGTGATTTACCTTGACTTTAAGGAAGAATGTGATTTACCTTGACTTTAAGGAAGAATGTGATTTACCTTGACTTTAGGGAAGAATGTGATTTACCTTGACGTTAAGAAAGAGAGAAGGTGATTTACCTTGACTCTAAGGAAGAATGTGATTTACCTTGACTTTAAGGAAGAATGTGATTTACCTTGACTTTAAGGAAGAATGTGATTTACCTTGAATTTAAGGAAGAATGTGATTTACCTTGACGTTAAGAAAGAGAGAAGGTAATTTACCTTGATGTTAGAGAAGAGAGCAGGTGATTTACCTTGACGTTGAAGAAGAGAACAGGTGATTTACCTTGACTTTGAGGAAAAGAGAGCAGGTGATTTACCTTGACGTTGAGGAAGAGAACAGGTGTTTTACCTTGACGTTAAGGAAGAATGTGATTTACCTTTACTTTAAGGAAGAATGTGATTTACCTTGACGTTAAGAAAGAGAACAGGTGATTTACCTTGACGTTAAGGAAGAATGTGATTTACCTTGACTTTAAGGAAGAATGTGATTTACCTTGACGTTAAGAAAGAGAGAAGATGATTTACCTTGACTTTAAGGAAGAATGTGATTTACCTTGACTTTAAGGAAGAATGTGATTTACCTTGACGTTAAGAAAGAGAGAAGGTGATTTACCTTGACGTTAAGGAAGAGAGCAGGCTATTCACCTTGACGTAAATGAAGAGAGCAAGTGATCTACCTTGATGTTAAGGAAGAATCCAGGTGATTTACGTTGACCTTGAGGCATATAAAAGGTGATTTACCTTGACTTTAAGTAAGATACCAGGTGATTTACCTTGACGTTAAAGAAGAGAGCAGGTGAATTACCTTGACGTTAAGGAAGAGAGCAGGTAATTTATCTTGACGTTAAGGAAGACAGCAGGTGATTTACCTTGACGTTATGGAAGAGAGCAGGTGAATTACATTGACGTTAAGGAAGAGAGCAGGTGATTTACCTTGACTTTAAGGAAGAGAGCAGGTGATTTACCTTGACGTTAAAGAAGAGAGCATGTGAATTACCTTAACGTTAAGGAAGAGAGCAGGTGAATTACCTTGACGTTAAGGAAGAGAGCAGGTGGTTTACCTTGACGTTAAGGAAGAAAGCAGGTGATCTACATTGACGTTAACGAAGAGAGCAGGCTATTTACCTTGACGTAAACGAAGAGAGCAGGTGATCTACATTGACGTTAATGAAGAAAATAGGTGATTTACCTTGATGTTGAGGGAGAGAGCATGTGATGTATCTTGACGTTAAGGAAGATAACAGGTGATTTACTTTGACGGTAAGAGCATGTAATCTTCATTGACGTTAACGAAGAGAGCAGGCTATTCACCTTGACGTAAATGAAGAGAACAGGTGATCTACCTTGATGTTAAGGAAGATAACAGGTGATTTACGTTGACCTTGAGACATATAAAAGGTGATTTACCTTGACTTTAAATAAGATACCACGTGATTTACCTTGACATCAAGGAAGATACCAGGTGGTTTACCTTGACCTTGAGAAGGATAACAGGTGATTTACCTTGACCTTAAGGAAGATAGGTGATTTACCTTGATTTTAAGGGGTAGAGCATATGATTTACCTTAAATTTTAGGAAGATAACAGGTGATTTACCTTAACCTTAAATAAGAAAATAGGTGATTTACCATGACTTTAAGGAAGACAGCAAGTAATTTACTTTGACGTTTAGGAAGATAACAGGTGATTTACCTTGACTTTAAGGAAAACAGCAAGTGATTTACTTTGACGTTAAGGAAGATAACAGGTGATTTACCTTGACTTTAAAGAAGAGAGCAAGTGATTTACTTTGACGTTAAGGAAGAGAGCAGGTGATTTACCTTCAAGTTCTCAATCTCCGTGGCCATGGCGTTGATCTCATTATTGAGCTCACTTTTCCAGAAGCTGATGTCATAGACCCGCTCGCCTGCAGACAGAGAGCAACAACACTGGTCACATCATAGACCCGCTCGCCTGCAGACAGAGAGCAACAACACTGGTCACATCATAGACCCGCTCGCCTGCAGACAGAGAGCAACAACACTGGTCACATCATAGACCCGCTCGCCTGCAGACAGAGAGCAACAACACTGGTCACATCATAGACCCGCTCGCCTGCAGACAGAGAGCAACAACACTGGTCACATCATAGACCCGCTCGCCTGCAGACAGAGAGCAACAACACTGGTCACATCATAGACCCGCTCGCCTGCAGACAGAGAGCAACAACACTGGTCACCTCATAGACCCGCTCGCCTGCAGACAGAGAGCAACAACACTGGTCACTACACACCCGATCACCCGTGTCCAGTCTGTTCATGACAGCAACTGTTTCTTGTTTTCTCGTGTTCATTCACCCGAAGTATGATCTGTTTACAGCTAAGATGCGATATTGTTCACTCTCGACAGATATGTACCACTTCAGCTCAACACAAAATGTGTGCTAGATTTGTTTTTCTGCTTACTCGGTCTGTCTACATTGATGTCCCCAGTTTCAGGTAAAAAATAATCATTATCTCAATATGGGATGCAATTTTCTTACGCTATTTTAAAGCCCTACCCGGCTATCGTTGGAAAAGGTGGGGGGGGGGGGGGGGGCTTAATTTAACCTAGGGTTGAAGGAGGTTTCTGAGCAAAACTGTATTTTTGGTACCATGTACAATGTTATGAACAATATTACAATTATATTACAAAAAAATCACTCTTCTTTGAAGACTTTAACAATAAATGCATTTATAAGATGAAGGAATCTTCACAGCTAAATGTACATAAGTCACAGTCCCATAAATGAAAACTTCCAAGTAAATGCATTTTCAGGGCTGTTTTTTGGCACTTTGCAATGTTCAGACGCACAATGCTCAATCCAACTACAAACGGATCAGAATTAGATACTACTTTTCACGCCCTCACACAAGATTCCCTTGTCACATTGGAGAGAAATGTGATTTTCGCGACTGACTGACTGACTGAATTTCTACCCCACCAGGACATCACACAAGCGATAAACACCCTAGACACATAGTGCCACATGTGGACGAGGATCACTGTGGAGAGGTCACAGAAACCGTGTTTAGCCTTTAGGCCATATTTATGGCCACGCTATATTGCGGCCCCTGGCAAGAGCCAGAGTAGGGCTTTAAATAACGAAAAATTTCGTCCTGAAAAGGACGTAGGGATGTATTTTTTATTTCTCGTGAGTGAGTGAGTGAGTGAGTGAGTGAGTGACTTTATACCCCACTAAGACATCACACAAGCGACAAACACCCGATGACACAAAGTGCCACCACGTGGGTGAGGATCACCAGGGTTGCCAGATAAAAAAATTTCATTTTATGCCAAACCATTACCCAAAATATGTCAGAAAATGCCAAATAAAGTATAACATTGTACTCAATTCACATCAAAAGCTCTAGATTAAATTCTTTACTGGCCTCCTCACTAGAACCAGTGGAAGATGCAGCGTAAACCTTTTTGAATGTAAAGTCTTTAAGCATTTTCTCAGATGGGATAAAGTCATCTATAATGATGGCATACTTCTTGTTCCGAAAATCGTCAATAAGGTCATCCTTAAGTGCAGGCGATATAAATTTTTTTTAAAGGCATGAACATCTAGTTCTATGCAACTGTATGTGCTCCAGCGTACTCCCCCGGCCATGAGCTCTTTTGATTTCACTTAGATGATCAATTGTGCGTATTGCACAATAGCAGGTCATGCCTACAGCAAGTTGCAACTCCGCTGCCTTGAACTTTATCATCACTTTGCGTAGGAGTCATTTTTGTAATAAGCTGTAACTGGCTTTTTAACGAAGTTTTCATCCTTTGTTTTTCGGATTTTTTATGATCTGATATGCTACTAATTCTTGGTGCGTGTGCAGTTCTTCTTCTTCTGCGTTTGACATCAGTCATGCTAAATCATTGAGTCCCGTCTGGGTCAAAAAAAGGATTGTGCGTTTAAGGTCGCCACAGGTTCCCCATTGCTTCTCTCGCAATGTGGATCCCCTGGGCCAGATCCACAGTCTTTGCTGTGAGAGGTAAGGGCAGTACTGCAGTACGTGCTCAGGGGTCTGTCTTTCTGCTCCACAATCACAGGCAGCAGATTCTTTTATGCCTATCCTGTACAGGTGTGCTCGAAGACCACAATGTCCAGTCCGAAGTCTAAAGTGCATGTGCACTGGACACAGTTTACAATATGCTGCCTCTGATTAGTCTGAAGATCTTTTGAGCCATGAGTTTGTTTTCTTTCAGTTACTATTATACTTACAATGTCATAAGATGCTTTCCCCCTTTTTTTTGGATGACGTGGCCATTGGTGAAAATAATAAAATCTATCTCAAATATAACTAGGTCTATATCCTCTCTATTTTCTGTTCTCAAGTAGTTTCTGAACAGTCTAAATAACTTGATATCAGTTGTGGGTTTTGGTTTTATATCCCTCATTTATTCTAGTAGATTAACATCAATTACAGAGGGCCTTGGTTTATCAAAGTCACGAGCCGTTTTGGAAAACAACAAATACAATCAGAAATAGCGCGAATCTACGTTAGTCCGTACCAGGACATCACAACAAAGTCACGAGCCGTTTAGGAAGACAACAAAAACAATCAGAACTGGCGCTAATCTCCGTTAGTCCGTGGACACAAGAAGTTGGAGAGAAATATGATTTTCGCGACACAAGAAGTTGGTATTTAGCTTACTCTGACGTTGCGGTTATAAACGGTCTCCGGGGAAATAAGCACAGTTATGAGACTCTTCTGTGTAAGAAGAGTAAATTCCCTTATACAGCAAACATGAGACAACTTGAAGGTGGTGCAGGGAATCAGCTAGCCTGTTGTTGTGTCCCCTGCTCCCGGGAACACCATCAGATACTGTTTCTGATCAATATCTCAATGTCAAATCATCAACGCAAACCTGATTTGAAATGTTAACGACTAAAAGGCCTTTAAAAAAGTACCAGTTGCTAGTCAAAATGGGGAGGACAATGTTGAGACTGTAGCCACATACAATATGGTTTCTGCTTGAATTCTGGTGTCTGACCGGGCAGATGGACGAACCGCGACAGGAGAAAGACGAGGAAAGACACATATTTACTCACCATGATAAACAAGACTGGGATACACATGCTAGAATAAACGAAGGGAAGACAGAGAGAGATAGATAGATAGACCGAGAGAGAGAGAGAGAGAGACGTGTCCAGATAAACCAATAAAGACACAGACATGACACGATATACAAGACAGGGATATACGGAGAAAGACACAGACAGACATGGCAGGATACACAAGACAAAGACAGACATGGCAGGCTACATAAGACACAGACAGACATGGCAGGATATATGACACAGGCAGACATGGCAGGATATATGACACAGGCAGACATGGCAGGATACACAAGACAAAGACAGACATGGCAGGATACATAAGACACAGACAGACATGACAGGATACATAAGACACAGACAGACATGGCAATATACATATGACCAGACAGACATAGCAGGATACATAAGACACAGACAGACATGACAGGATACAAGACAAAGACAGACAAGGCAAAATACACATGACACAGACAGACACGGCAGGATACATAAGACACAGACAGACATGGCAGGATACATAAGACACAGACAGACATGACAGGATATATAAGACACAGACAGACATGGCAGGATACATAAGTCACAGACAGACATGGCAGGATACATAAGACACAGACAGACATGGCAGGATAGATAGGACCCAGACAGACATGGCAGGATACATAAGACTGAGACAGACATGTCCAGGTAAACCGATAAAGACAAAGAGATACATGGCAGGATACACAAGACACAGACAGACATAGCAGGATACATAAGACACGGACAGACATAGCAAGATACATAAGACACAGACATGGCAGGATATACAAGACAAAGACATACATGTCCAGGTAAACCGATAAAGAAACAGACAGACATGGCAGGAAACATAAGACACAGACATACATGGCAGGAGACACAAGACACAGACATGGCAGGATACATAAGACACAAACAGACATGGCAGGATACACAAGACACAGACATACATGGCAGGATACATAAGACACAGACAGACATGGCAGGATATATAAGACACAGACATGACAGGATACATAAGACACAGACATGGCAGGATACATAAGACACAGATATGGCAGGATACATAAGACACAGATATGGCAGGATACATAAGACACAGACAGACATGGCAGGATACACAAGACACAGACATACATTCTAGGATACATAAGGCACAGACATGGCAGGATACACAAGACACAGACAGACATGGCAGGATACATAAGACACAGACAGACATGACAGGATACATAAGACACAGACAGACATGGCAGGATATATAAGACACAGACAGACATGGCAGAATACATAAGACACAGACAGACATGACAGGATACACAAGACACAGACAGACATGACTGGATACACAAGACACAGACAGACATAGCAGGATACACAAGACACAGACGGACATGGCAGGATATATAAGATACAGACATGGTCGAACACACAAGACACAGATAGACATGTCAGGATACACAAGACACAGACAGACATGACAGGATACACAAGACACAGACAGACATGACAGGATATACAAGATACAAACAGGCATGGCAGGATATACACGACACAGGCTGACATGGCAAGACATATAGGCAAGAAAGAGCACTCTTTTCGTGTTCACCGGCTGTACACTCCGGTGGGAAAATCTGGTTGTTCGTCCACTTAGGGACTTTGGTCTTGATCTAAAACTTGAGGTTTGCTTCTGTATCCCTTAAAAAACAATATCTGTCTTATTTGTACGAGACTGTAGTTCCTAGCTTCTTAGGCAGATGCATTCAGACTTCAAAGGACAACCCCTAACGGTCGACCTTTACAACATGCTTGCTGGCGCAGTTGGTCTATTTCACCCCCCCCCACCCCCCACAACCACCCTGGTCCGAAGATTAGGTATAAAAAAACAGACACGGAAGACAGGCGTGCACACAGACAGACAGTCCACGGATAGTTACCGAGTCGTTTAGTGACATCATTCTGTCTATTGCGAGTTCGGGCGTCTGTCTCCTTCACCGCCCGCCAAGTGTCGGCACGTAGACGTTCGGCAAAACTCCTCTCCGTGTCCGACATGGAATAGTTGCAACTGTTGGACAGGAACCAATCGTTGGGCTGGTACCTCGAGTACAGGCTACGTCTGGGACAGTGGAAATAGTGGATGCAGTATCAGCTGGATTATTAGATGTTAAAATTTCAGCAGGATTATAACATGTTACAATGACAGCAGGATTATTGCATGTTACAATAGCAGCAGGATTATTGCATGTTACAATGGCAGCAGGATTATTGCATGTTACAATAGCAGCAGGATTATTGTATGTTACAATAGCAGCAGGATTATTGTATGTTACAATAGCAGCAGGATTATTGTATGTTACAATAGCAGCAGGATTATTGTATGTTACAATAGCAGCAGGATTATTGTATGTTACAATAGCAGCAGGATTATTGTATGTTACAATAGCAGCAGGATTATTGTATGTTACAATAGCAGCAGGATTATTGTATGTTACAATAGCAGCAGGATTATTGTATGTTACAATAGCAGCAGGATTAGTGCATGTTACAAATGGCAGCCGGATTATTGCATGTTACAATATCAGCAGGATTTTTTAATGTTGCACACAAAAAAATATTTAAAACAAGCAAGAATATTACATTTTAAATTGCCAGCATGTTGGTCGGATATTATAATGACAGCAGGGTTATTATCATATAAAGACAGCATAATTATTGCATGGTGCAAGGACATCATCATTATTGTATGGTGCAAGGACATCATCATTATTGTATGGTGCAAGGACATCATCATTATTGTATGGTGCAAGGACATCATGGTACAAGGACAGAAGGATTATTGCATGGTACAAATACAGCAGGATTATTGTATGGTACAAATACAGCAGAATTATTGTATGGTACAAGGACAGAAGGATTATTGCATGGTACAAATACAGCAGGATTATTGTATACGTAAAATAAGTAGACGACTAGCGCAGATAAAAATAACAGCAGAACCCGTGTATAAAAAATTAGAAGAGAACTACTGTATTGAACAGCAGAACTAGTTTATGTAACAAGAACAGGAGAACCATTGCATGTAACAAGATCAGAATTATTGCAAGCAACAAGAAAATAACTATTGCATATAACAAGAACAGAAATAATGCGCGTAACAACAACAGGAGATTTATTGTTACGTAACGAGAACAGGAGAACGATTGCGGGCAACAAGAACAGAATGAACGCATGCAATTAGCACAGCGATCAAGCGTAGACCATTAGTTGTGTCTGCAGTCGCACAGAAACCACTTCACAGAAAAACATACACAGCCTGTAGCTGAGGTAAACATACTACTCAATGTGGTCACAAATGTCGACGTGTTAACTTGTTACTACAGCGCGACATACACACACAAACACACACACACATATGCAAACACCGTACTGTAATCCACACGGATAGAACACATACACTGTTGTAGTAGCGATACAACATACACTGTTGCAGTAGCGATACAACATACACTGTTGTAGTAGCGATACAACATACACTGTTGCAGTAGCGATACAACATACACTGTTGCAGTAGCGATACAACATACACTGTTGCAGTAGCGATACAACATACACTGTTGCAGTAGCGATACAACATACACACAAACACACACAATAACACATACAAACACCGTATTGTAATCCACGCAAATAGAACACATACACTGTTGCAGTAGCGATACAACACACACACACACATACAAACACCGTACTGTAATCCACACGGATAGAACACATACACTGTTGCAGTAGCGATACAACATACACTGTTGCAGTAGCGATACAACATACGCACAAACACACACAATAACACATACAAACACCGTATTGTAATCCACGCAGATAGAACACATACACTGTTGCAGTAGCGATACAACACACACACACACACATACAAACACCGTACTGTAATCCACACGGATAGAACACATACACTGTTGCAGTAGCGATACAACATACACTGTTGCAGTAGCGATACAACATACACTGTTGCAGTAGCGATACAACATACGCACAAACACACACAATAACACATACAAACACCGTATTGTAATCCACGCAGATAAAACACATACACTGTTGCAGTAGCGATACAACACACACACACACACACATACGCATGCACATACACAAACTCTGACAGGGCTAAAAACATCAATAGATGTGAAAACAGGTCCCTATGATCATGTGCCGTGCCCACACCCACAGTTTGTCCCGTTACACGATCACCACACCCACAGTTCGTCCTGTTACACGATCACCACAGCCACAGTTCGTCCTGTTACACGATCACCACACCCACAGTTCGTCCTGTTACACGATCACCACAGCCACAGTTCGTCCTGTTACACGATCACCACAGCCACAGTTCGTCCTGTTACACGATCACCACAGCCACAGTTCGTCCTGTTACACGATCACCACAGCCACAGATCACGCTAACACCAAGTGACAACAGGTAATTAAGTAAAAATGTTACTCTACAGTAAAGATATCGACTTCATTGCACAGCACGGCTCGCTGACTCTCTGCTAGCTGCCTACCGACAGCGTCGCACAGATCTCGTACAATGTGGCTCCAGCGACGACCCCCAGAGGTCTCTGTAACAAATTCAGTCTGTGAAACGAACCTATACCTTTAGAGTGCGAGATTATTTACTTCGAAGTCGTAGTTAATCTGAGAGGCGAGGAACCAACAGTCTGCACACAAACGAGGAAGATCAGTAAAAAAATTTGCATGCGAGACTCCTACTCTGGGACAAGAACACAAGTTAAGAAGTTGTCGAACAAGAGGAACTTAACTCTAAGTTTACAGCGAGCGAAAGTTACGAATGAGAAGAACACCAGGCAAACGATTCGACTACTGTCTCATGGAACTCCCCCCAGAAACAAAAACATCAAACAGAAGCCAGAGAGGACATAACAGACATAGTCGTGAAGCTCACGTGGCAGGGTTGTAGTAAGTCTTGGCGTGACCCAGTTCCATGGAGCGGCCACGTAGACCAAGATGGCGGGAGATGGTCTTGTCGGTGACGTAGGGCAAGATCTTGGCCATCTCAGACCCGGCCGGCGTGGGACAGCCGGTGCGCACTTGCGCCGGGTTGTCGTAGTAGGCCATGCTGCGAGCAGACGTGCAAGGTTGTGATGGTTGTGAGGGGTGTTAGGTGTGGGAGACTGATGATTGTCAGGTGAGGTGAGGTAGGTGTGGAGACTGATGGTTGTGAGGTGTGGTAGGTGTGGAGACTGATGGTTGTGAGGTGTGGTAACCTATTGTTGTTAGGTGTGGTAATCTATAGTTGTGAGATGTGGTAGTCGATGGTTGTGAAGTGTGGTAACCTGTAATTGTGAGGTGTGATAACCGATGGTTGTGAGGTGTGGTAACCGATGGTTGTGATGTGTGGTAATCGATGGTTGTGAGGTGTGGTAATCGATGGTTGTGATGTGTGGTAATCGATGGTTGTGAGGTGTGGTAATCGATGGTTGTGATGTGTGGTAATCGATGGTTGTGAGGTGTGGTAATCGATGGTTGTGAGGTGTGGTAATCGATGGTTGTGAGATGTGGTAATCGATGGTTGTGAGGTGTGGTAATCGATGGTTGTGAGGTGTGGTAATCAATGGTTGTGAGGTGTGGTAATCGATGGTTGTGAGGTGTGGTAATCGATGGTTGTGAGGTGTGGTAATCGATGCTTGTGAGGTGTGGTTACCGATGGTTGTGAGGTGTGGTAATCGATGGTTGTGAGGTGTGGTAATCGATGGTTGTGATGTGTGGTAATCGATGGTTGTGAGGTGTGGTAATCGATGGTTGTGAGGTGTGGTAATCGATGGTTGTGAGGTGTGGTAATCGATGGTTGTGAGGTGTGGTAATCGATGGTTGTGAGGTGTGGTAATCGATGGTTGTGAGGTGTGGTAATCAATGGTTGTGATGTGTGGTAATCGATGGTTGTGAGGTGTGGTAATCGATGGTTGTGATGTGTGGTAATCGATGCTTTTGAGGTGTGGTTACCGATGGTTGTGATGTGTGGTAATCGATGGTTGTGAGGTGTGGTAATCGATGGTTGTGATGTGTGGTAATCGATGGTTGTGAGGTGTGGTAATCGATGGTTGTGAGGTGTGGTAATCGATGGTTGTGAGGTGTGGTAATCGTTGGTTGTGAGGTGTGGTAATCGATGGTTGTGAGGTGTGGTAATCGATGGTTGTGAGGTGTGGTAATCGATGGTTGTGAGGTGTGGTAATCGATGGTAGAGAGGTGTGGTAATCGATGGTTGTGAGGTGTGGTAATCGATGGTTGTGAGGTGTGGTAATCGATGGTTGTGAGGTGTGGTAATCGATGGTTGTGATGTGTGGTAATCGATGGTTGTGAGGTGTGGTAATCGATGGTTGTGAGATGTGGTAATCGATGGTTGTGAGGTGTGATAATCGATGGTTGTGAGGTGTGGTAATCGATGGTTGTGATGTGTGGTAATCGATGGTTGTGAGGTGTGGTAATCGATGGTTGTGAGGCGTGGTAATCGATGGTTGTGAGGTGTGGTAATCGTTGGTTGTGAGGTGTGGTAATCGATGGTTGTGAGGTGTGGTAATCGATGGTTGTGAGGTGTGGTAATCGATGGTTGTGAGGTGTGGTAATCGATGGTAGAGAGGTGTGGTAATCGATGGTTGTGAGGTGTGGTAATCGATGGTTGTGAGGTGTGGTAATCGATGGTTGTGAGGTGTGGTAATCGATGGTTGTGATGTGTGGTAATCGATGGTTGTGAGGTGTGGTAATCGATGGTTGTGAGATGTGGTAATCGATGGTTGTGAGGTGTGGTAATCGATGGTTGTGAGGTGTGGTAATCGATGGTTGTGAGATGAGGTAGGCATAATTATTATTTAAAAGTAACATTAAAAGCTGCATCTTTTGTGAGAACTGCTTCGCGCACTTTTCAATCCAAGACGTCATATTCCCATCTTTGTACTGGTCGACCTCTGCCCGTCCTTCCTGCACCGCATCTTCTACTACTATTATTTCCAAACGACCTG